ATTGGTTGTTCAGCTCGGAGTGTAAGGAGAAGCCGCTGAGCTAAAGGCTTCCTATTTTCAAGCAGTGCCCAACCCCCCTGTTCTTCTTGCTGTTGGTGGAGCATTTGTCCTTCTAGCAATGTTATTGTCGCAGTTGTCGTTGCTGTTGCAGATGTGTGCGTCATGTCAGCTTAGCGACACAGGTCGTGAGTTGATTGCGATCTCCATCCTGAGCTTTCGAAACCCAGAACAGCATCCCGCCTTCAGGCATGCCGACGCTCGAAGTTGGCTGGGCAAAATGTATCACCAATGCTGTAGGGTCCCCAGGATGCACATCATGATACTCGCGACAATGCTGATGATTACGATTTACAAGATCAAGATGAACGCAAGGATGACGAGTAATTTGCGGGGCATCAGTGTGCAAGATCTCAGTATGTAAATCGAAGTCGATGTCCAAGTGTCGCTCGAAGCACTGAAGATGTTCGTGCCAAATTATGTGTAGTACCAGCATCACCATCACCGTCACAGATAATAGACAGAGCTGCCAAGCAAACCATGATGACACGTGGTAGCAACACCGCAAAACCCCTGGAGCAGAGCAGAACACGAAAACGAAGCAGTACGCAACAGTAGCTTCTTCGAGAGGTCCTCCTCTTCCTGCTCCTTCTGGCACATCAACAACAGTATCACTGCTCCCACCACTACTACTACTACTACTACGACGACGACTACTACTACTACCACTACTACTACCACTACTACTACTACTACTACGACGACGACGACTACTACTACTACTACTACTACTACCTCCACTAACAACAACAACAACTACTACTATTGTTCCACCGTGTATCATTTCAAGAATCCAGAAGCTGTTCCAGCATCCCACCCATCAAAGACAGTTTTTACTGGTTGTCCGTCCTTCTACAAGTGCAGTACTTGTCTTTCCTCCTGCTAGCTGTTGCATCGTGCGGATTCTCCATGAAAATTCCATAGCTTCCAGCTCCTCTCGATCACCTTGTGCAGCAGGTCGTCCGCGAGGCTCACAGCCCAGAATCCAAGAAGGCAACTGCGACCAGGGGTATAGAGTATATACGTACATGTTCACAGGGGCAGACGAAGAGCCGAAATACAAGCATGTAAATATACTCGCATACAGGTACGCATCCACACAAATACATGATCATACAGGCATACATACGCACTTTCTTGCATCACGGCAAATTGGCAAGTGCTGAGAGACTCCACACGAGCTGGATTTTAGAGGCTTCTCGGTTACATAATCCGTGCAGTTCAAAAGCACCCAGTGGCTTAAAAGGGGCAAGAGATGTCTTCGAAGACACTCAGAGCTAGGTCCTTATATAGAAGCTTCAGGACCGACTCTCTAGGTCTATTCGAAGAGAAGATCCGTTTGGCAATGGGTGCATTTCCAAACGCCGCAGGTCATTAGATGCCAAGAGATGACTTGCTTTTTGAGGGAGGTCGCGGTGTTTTCAAGCTGCATCCACTGCAAAATGCCAAGAGGCCCCTGAAGAAGCAAAACGCCACGAGGCCCCTGAAGAAACAAGTCTATAAGAGCTCTCGAACAGGCGTGGAGGACAGGCTTTGAGGTCTACAGGGTTCTCTCGATGTTGGAAGCAAGTTCGGTGTGATGTGAGACATGGGCCATGTTTTTTGTTTTTTACGGAAAACTGTGGGGAAAACTGTGGGGCTCCTTGCTCGAAAGCCTGGAAGGGCACCTCTCGGTCTGTTGCAATGGGTTCTCATCACAAGACTGACAGGTTTTTCTCAAGTAAGACATCTTGAAAAGGCTTCCTCGAACAGGCCTTGGTTGCTCAGGCTGTCGTCGCACTAGTGGAGCTCCACTTCAACATTTTATACGTACATTCTTTGGAGATGGAGAATTCAGCATCCGGTAGCATAAATCCTAACGGTCCTAACAGCCCTACAAACCTAAAAACTCCTCCACTGGCAGGTTGCGGTGGTGAGGGAGGACACGCGGATTTATGTAGCGGAAGTTAGGGGCCGACGGGTGCACCCTGCCTCGTTCTGGGGTTAATGGGTTTAAAACAATTATGTCGTCTAGGTTTCCTGGTTCGGGGTTTCAATTTGACTTCAGGGTTGGTTCTCAGTTTTGGAGTTTTTCCATCTAGTTCCTACGATGCTCTCTCACTACACTCATTAAACCTTGTGTCTGCTATTTCCTTCCACTAAGCCTTAGTTGTGTTGCGGGATTCGGAGACGGAAGGCATGAAACCGTGGGGCCAGAAGCATACGGAAGCGTTTAAGATGCAGTGGTTTCAGTGGCCACACGAGTGCCCAGGTTGCTCCTGTAGGTTTTTGAGAATACGGTTGTCCGTTACCTTGTTCTGTTTTGCCTGATGCAGCTGCCAGGTTCGCATCACTCAGCCCCTCCATGGGTGGCTCTCAACGATGTCCAATGACGGCCAGGAGCTCACAGCCGGTAGATCAGTGCCAAACCCCTCCTACCAACCCGCTTTTGCAAACTTGGCGATCTTCCAAGAATGGTCCTCCAAAAGACACATTTCAGGTTCCTGGTTGGGATGCCGTAATCTTCGTGTTTTGAAGCCTTCTCGGGATCGCAGGTCCCAACATGTCCCTAGCTTGAAGCTAACAAGTCGAAAAGCTGCCCCAAGTACCAGACTCATCCGGCCGGTCTTTTCGCGCTCGCATGCTTCGCCGCTAGTTGACGCAAAGCAGCCTGAGGCATTGAAATTGTGCGGAGCACGAAGACCGACGAGCTGCGGGAGGAATGCCTGGGCCTCAGGTCGAAGGCAGACATGGAAGTTTAGGGCGTCAGCGGCCTTGAGGAGGTGGATACTTGCAAGATAATCTGGGTTGACACAGGGGCCTCTACGTACGCAGCGTCTAGCTCTAGGTGTAGGAAGTGTCTGGAAACATGCTCGAAGCACTAACTGTAGCTTATCTCACCTGCTGAGGCCATCGTCTTGATGCCCTGAAGCATTCGGCCATCGGCATATCATTCCACCTTTGCTAGCAAAAAGCCGGTCCTTGGACTTGTGCGCAAGGAAAGGGTGGGCAGGCTCACGCCCGGCATTCTTTGCAAAAAGTTCCAACATATGATTCATTACTGAAATATCCGATGCATTGTGAGTTGTATCCTCCACTTAACGTCAACTGATGCTCCGCCCAGTCCGACATCAGAAAGCCGATCCTCTTCCAGAGAATGCCACTGCTGGGGCCTCGTTCGGTGGGAGAGCGCTGAGTTCGGCGGGGGCCCGTTTTCGTCATCCTCCGTTTTGCAACCTTATGAATACCGGTGCTAGTGGTAGTATTGCAGTGCTTTTGTTGGCTTAGTTTGTTTTAGGTTTGGTGCTGGGGCTTTTCTTTGGACCCGGCTTTGCCTACAACCCCTGAGGCGCGAGCCCAAACCTTGACCGCATGCAGCCACCAACTAAGCCCTAAATACAGATCCGGACATGAATATGTGTATATGACAATATAAAACTATTTTCATACACACACACACAGGGACAACCACACGCACACACAACAACATTATGTAACATTTGTATAACATGTACGTGGTAACATATGTATATATCTGTAATCATATGTAATATGTGTATGTATATGTATGAATGTATGAATTATGATTTATTCTTCCCGGCAACAGGGTTGACTGCAGGAGTGAGGGTCGAAGGCAAAACCCTCCCTCACTCCAAGGCACGATTCGATACGAAGGCTTCTGGTCGGTAAAGTCGGTTTTGCCGTGTTTGTGCCCTATTGCTATCCGCAGTAGTACTGCTTTTTCCGTACTGCTGCTGTTGCTTTTTCTGTCCCGACTCTTCCTGCCACTGTTAAAATCGCTATTGCTACGATCACCAGTTACTTTGGGTTTGGAAGACACGCGCCGGGATTTGGACATGTGGCTCAGGAGTAAGCAGGAAGACTGTCCCGAGAGTGTTGATATTCAAACGTCATCAGCGTGCAGCCAGAGTTACATTACAGTAGCATCGCCAGGTCCAGCAGCGAAAAGGCAAGTATTCTGGCACAGGTTAAACATGGCAGGAATCACAACTTTCATCCTGAGAATGAAGTCATTACATATGACTGTGGTGCTGTGAACAGTGGGAGTTGCTTTGGCATAGTTCCTGAAGCCCAGACCCGGCACGAGGCAAGCAGGCCCTGAGACCCTACGTTCAGCTCTGGTGCCTGAGGTGCAGGACGGCGTGGATCGTCTCGAAAAGGAGTTGTTGAAGCTCAGCTCTCAGTGATCACAACTGCGGTTCCCTCAAGTTTCTGAATTTCTTTAAGGGGGGGGTCTTTAAAATCAAGTATCTTACTATTTGGGGTTTTATATTGGGTCTCTTGATTTCTGAGATCAGGTCCCAAATGTCTTGAAAGCTTGCGAGGGGCCTCAATCATCAGTGATATCCCTCGTTCGGAATCTCTCTCTGATCTGGGGACTGTTGCTCCATGCGATGCCCTGCACTGAACTCTCGCTTCGACAGCAGGTTTGAGCCGAGCTTTGGCTGTTTTTCGAGTGTCTTTCTACCGTCATCAGAGTCGCAGCAGGGTTGAGACAACGGAGATTGTCGGCTGTTGCCGCTGGCGGAGACGGTGCTACAGACAGTGGAGCTTCCTGTCTGGACTATTCTCTCGGCAGGCCTGCCCTTTTGAGCAGACATGCCATAGAGGTCTGTGCCCCGAATCCCCACATCACCTTCCTGCTTGAGGCTTCGGGGCAAAGAGGGCAAGCTCTTGGAAGCCCTGGCGTGGCTCCCAGAGATTATCGTGTCGTTCCAGTGCCACAATACGAATTTGTTTAATCACGGTATCTTGACAAACACTGCAGACGTGCTGAAACGAAACTCCTACGACCAGGCAGAGTTGAAAGTTATCCTACGGCCTACAGCACCTTTATCAAGTGCGGGAAATAGGGTCTGTCACAAATTGGTGCACCTCCGACAACGCACAGGCCAAACTCCAGCCACGCCCAAACATTCTGGCTCCCCACTGATATGCAGGAGATGGCATCGCGAAAGGTTGCCGACAAAGCGAAGGCAGGTCCTTCGCGTTTTAGTTTAGGGCTCAGCGAAACGGAATCCTAGATCCATCAATCTGAACACCATGGACCTCCAAAGCCCGAGATCCCACTATCCGTTTTCGACAGGTGCACGAGCTGGCAGACACGGCCAGCGACAGTGCCACCAAGGCGCGGGTCGACTATGACTATGTTAGACCCGTAGTGGCTCGTCTGGCGAACGACCCTTAGGGCTTAAAGCCGAGGGCTGCGCGACAGATTTTTCCGCAAGGTCATCGGCCGGGTGGAGCAGGCCCTCACCAAGCTTGATCTGGGAAGGCCAGCGGATGCGAGCCCTTCATGAGATGCAAGCATTGTGGCTTTGGCCCCCCCTTCATGTTCGTAGCTGGCATCGAGTTCCTGCCACCTAGCCGCTAGCCTCAACCCCCGAGACGTCGACTCCTGGTCTGGGATTATTGTTCGTCAAGTACAGCCTTGGGGCATAGGGCTGTGCCCCATGATTCTGCGGGGACAGTCAAAGGCCTTTCAACAAATCCGAACAGTATGCAGATGTCGTTGACAACCCAAAAGCTCAGATTGTTTTTGGAGTTTGACCAAGAATATCAAAGCATCCATGACACTAAAGTTGACAAGCGAGCGGTTCTCTTGACTGCTACTTTTGTGGTTGTCATGTTTGTGAGTACTGTTGTGCCTCATATGAGAATCAGTTCCATGATGGCGTCTGTTATACATTTTTTGCGACTTTTTATGTTGTGACTAGACTGACCACCCCGCTGCTAGATTAGATTGTAAGCTCGATGAGCAGAGAGTCTCGAGTCGCTCAAACCAGGCGTTCTTTGGGCAAAGTCTAAGCTCGCTAAACCCTTATCCCCGAGACCCCAAACCCGCTGTGCCCAGGGTGGACGTGCAGCAGATCACCAACGACATCTTGAACGGCAAGGCGCTTCTCCCCAATCCCCCTCCCCCCCATAGACCCCGCACANNCCCCCCCCCCCCCCCTCCCCTCCCCAAGCCACATGTCACTGTGAGCGCATCAACTGCAGGCTGGCAGTCACTCACATGATGATGCTGATGACTCCACTCACACCGATATTTGAACAGCCGCAAGCCCTCGACTCCTCTGCCTGCTCTCGACGACTACATAGGAATGCAACTTAGGGTACTTGATTTTGTTGCTGTTCTTACGACGGATATGGTTGTGGCTGCCGTTGGCGCCCTGGTTGTCCTCGCCGGCGTCGTCGTCGTCGTCGTCGT